GAAGAGGACTTTTTTTATGCTGTCTTGCTAAAAATAATTTCAGTACTATAGAAAAAATAGATGAAATTAAAATTATGGCTTGCATCGTTTCATACCACTAAAACAAAATACTTCATTTTAAAATACAATGAAACCAACTGATTCGTTTACTCTTATGTGCCAAGTACTCTCTAAGTTGCAAAGGCAATTTGCTTTAGAATGTATCTTTTAAATTAAACAGTAAATATTTATATTTAAATAAATGTGCTGTTTACAGTGTTAACAAATATTTGATAAATAATTTAAGCATCGCAAGATACCTGTTTACAATAAGATAAAAGTAAATGGAAATAGAGAATGTCACTCAGCTACCACAGTTTGTACGGTACTGCAGTTACGCCAGACGTGCGCCATGCTGTTCAGTATCGTATCTGAATTACTGATGTCTTGTTTCAGCAAAGCATCCCTTGTAATCAAGATGCTTGTTTAGTTGAGATATTATGCCAAGGTAAGTGGCTAAACTGGAAAAGAGCTTCAGAGTTTCCTTCTTGCCTTGCAGATCAGTTCTTTCCTGCAACCTATCCCTGTGGTTCTCATTGCATGCCACAAACCTTGCACTTCCCTGCGATTTTTCTATGATACCTTCTGAATGAATTACTTTTTATAATAATTAACATATTTCTGTGGCAGCCATTCTAAGAGATCATACAGCACACACTTTTGTATTGTGGCCGAGGCTGTCTTATGGTGCGTTAAAACAAAGCTTGCCTTTGCTACTCAGCCTGAACGAACCTGTAAAACAGTTTTGTGGTCGACCTCCTGTGATTCTCTGTCTACTATGTTTATACCAGTATGTTAGAGCAGCCCAGGGTTCCGCAGACCATTAGCAATATGGTTCTTTGGGATGTCTCAAATGTTGTAAGCTCCCGGCTGAGGCAGAATGGCTCAGTGCTTGTTCTGTTGAGCACGAGTGATCAGTTTGTATTGGCTTGCATGGGGAAGGCTTTCTTCGCAAGGGTAAACGTTATTATCATGTGGAAGCTCTGATTCCTGTTTGTCCTCAATTTTTATGGCCTTGCTCTAAGTCTTCTTCACTGCAATACAATGGGGCCTTTCAAAATGGTTGTTCAAACATTCAGAATGATGGAGATGCTGTTAAGGAATGTACAAACAAAAAACCCCAATGTGTTTACTTCAGCAAATTTAAATGCAAAAAAGTATAAAAGTTCATGTTTAGATCTTGAGATGTGTATAATAAATTATATGAGTGAGATTTCCTTTCAGTGCTTTTTCTCCCTGTTGTTGCTCACCATGCAAGTCTGTATGTAAGGTGAGTGTAAACTCGGCCAAGTCACTGTAGAGCCTGGCTGTGCTCCCAACCTGGATAATTATTTTATTATATATTAGACTAATAACTTTTTGGCATGTTATGTTGTGTGCACTCAGACCTCACCTGGTTAAGGTTACATCAAAGATAGACCTCTATTGACAAGATTAAATTGAAATAATTTTCTCTTAGAGCTTAGCAGGTAGAGTATTTGTGTTGTCAGCAAACAGGATGTTATCTTCTTTCCCTTGGGCATTATCTCAAATTCAGTGTCAGAATGCCAGATGGATTTATTTTAATATTTTTTCTCCAATTTTTATTTTTTAATTTTAATTTTCTTTCTATCACTCTTCAGCTATCACACTCAATTTTCTTGGAAGGAAAGTACCCAAAAGAAGCCACAGTATAACAGCTCTGCTTAAATGCTGATCTTTTTCAATAGTATTTTTGAGCTGTATATATTACCTGATGTTTAATCTTTAGAACTTGCAGGATTGTCTTAAATGTGCCATTTTTATAGGCTTCTCACTTGCAAAAAACCCTCCAACAAACCAAACCCCAAAACCCCCCAAATCAAACAGAAAAAAAAACAGGAAAATATTATCTATAATACCATAAGGACTATTTAATGCTACAATTTGCTTTTAAAAAGCCCCACAGAAATCATATTATTTTTTACACACTTGTAAAATTGAAAAGAGAAAACACAGACTTAGACCAATAAATCAGTGAATACTAAATCAACCAAAGAAACAATCAGTCCTAAATACTCTTGTTTGTGAAATGAGTGGTTTCATTTATTTAAAATATAGCAGATTTTAATACTTGGCTAGCCTTGGCACTCACAGTGTATATGATGAAGGAGGATGTCTGCTAGTTAACTTCTTTGGAAAAGGAAATAACCCACTGAAAGGAAACATGCATCGAAATCACCTCTCAAAGAATATTATTCTGACATTCTTATTTGAAATTTGTCAGTTTTTCCTACCATTTCAAAAGTGTTATAAAACCCATGGGTAAGGTAAATTTATATCCTTGAAATACACTGTCTGTATGTGAATTACTGTAGAAATTATTCCATGATACGTAACTTAAATTCATTTAAAGGAGAACAGTATATTGCTATATATTTTAATACAGAATCTTTTATCCCCAAATGTATTCACCTTTCACTTAAAGTGTAATATTTAGATGCAACTTTTGTGTTAAAATTTGGAGTTAGGTGTTGCGAATGCTTTCAATGGCGGTCTTTAATAAGAAAACAAAAAGCTAAACCCCCTTTGATTTCTATGCACAATCCTGGTAAGACTTAGGAAGCCAAGAAGCATCATGAAAGGATCACAACAGCTTATCTGTAGCTCCGGCAGTTCTGGAGGCAAGGTCATGTTCAACAAGAGAAAAAAGAAAACAAAACTGTGTCTTTAAGCACAAGAAAACAAGTGGTTTGGAAACAAGATGAAACAATCATCCTCACCCTGCTGGAACTTAACTGTCCAGGGGGTGCAAAGAGAGGAGGGATTGGCAAGAAAAAAGCTTGAAATATATAATTTTATTTATCATTGTACTCCCAGGGAATGGAATATCAGCCTTTCTTCCAGACTTAGATACTATCTAATATATAATGGAAAAACTACACAGCTTCTTCCTTGCTTGGAGTTGGAGTAGAATTGCGTTTTACAACAGTCATTAGTGCATGGCTTAACGTTGGAAGGAATATTGGATTTCTTACTAAGATGAGAAATACAAGTTGGGCTTTCAAGTCTTCTGCCAACTGTCTCTGGCTTTTGCGGAAAGGGTAAACTGAAAACGCTGCTGTCACATGTGGGCGGCAGGCGTGCAGTGCAGTTAATGAGCCGTGATAAGCCTGGGTAATAAGCAGAGATGGAGAAGGTTTCTCCCAAATAGAATGAGATCTGGTGTTTCCTGGAAAGAATCATGTTTCTTCATCCTTTTGGTTTTGGTATGAGAAGAATCAAATCTATAATAGTGACGATCCCCCAAATAGTATAGAGAAGTGTAGCATCTGTGCAGGTGTTGGATCTTTCTAATAACTTTTGGAATTAATTAATTAACAAAACTACAGCTTTTGAGAAATTATATCTCTACTCTTTTCTTTACCTGTAGCTCCTGGAGGAAGGAAAAAAAAAAAAAAAAGAGACTGCTGTGGGTTTTTTTTCCAGGACTCAATAACTGTGTATAATCATGAGATGTATGCAGCAGATTATTTGGCTCATCTCAGTATAAAATAATTAAAGTAAAATAACTTTAAGGTCAAATGTTTAATCATGTCAGATTAATTTCCATTAAATTGATTTTCCACTACTGATGTGTCTCAGCCTTTGTTATATGTGATTAATAGTATGTGGGACACTGAGTTTGTCTGAGTATTTGTCATACACAGATGGTCTTCAAAATCTGACTTATATGCAATGACTTCTTTTTATTCTATTTTCATCTAAAATCCAAACTATGGGTTGCATGTTTTTGAAAAACTAAAAGCTAAAAGAGCGGAATATGGAAAGTTGCTTTCCACATAAGCCTCTATTTAAAATAGTGGTTAAATTATCAAACCTTTTAATGGAAGTGTATAGATGGTAAGATTTTTAACTAATTCTTGTTTAGCAGAACAAGTTGCGTATCACGCTGAGAAAGACTGCTTGTGAAAAGCATTTAAAGTTTTTGTACTTGCTGGTCTGTTTTTGCTTTGTAAATGGTATGTTTATCCTTGCACAGGTTGTATTGATATATACGATCTATGAATGTATGGATTTACATCTAAATATTATTTATATTGATTTCCTCCCAAATGGACAAGTAGGGCAGAGACTCATACTTAAATTAACGAGATTCTTCAAAGACACTAAACTTTGGTCTCTTTCAATTAAGAAACACATCACAAACTGTTGCCAAGGGTTAAGGTTATTTAAGAGGTTGAAAAGTAGTCTTCACTGTTTGTTGCCTTCATAGCTTAATAGAATTTCTGGTTAAACTAGGTCATAAAGAAATCAATAATTTTATTTAAATTGCTTTTGCTTATCTGGTTATATCTCTGTACAAAATAGCCCAAATATTCTTCAGGAATATGTAACAGGCAGACAATAATTTCTTGTTCAAAATAAGTCACTGCGAAGTTTATATGTCCATATTAAAGTATGCATAATTTTACAAAACTTACTGGGATATGCATTTGTAAAATTCAGCATAAAGCAAATATTTTTCTTTAGGAAATGTCAGTCAGTACACATGGAGTGTAAGCAGCCACAGCTGCAGTTAATATTCCTGTGAAGTAAAGCAGTTTGTCAAGGCCTAAGTTGGAAATGAGCTAAACAGAGAGATCATCATTAAATAATTATCCAGAAAATTATTTAAATCTACAGAAGTTTGTATTAAAAATAGTGTATACATTTTTTATGTTCAGGGTGTTTGTTGGGCTGCCCTTAAGTTTTTCAGGGCAGCCAGAGATCTGAGGTAATATGGAGTTTTCTTGAGATGTACTGATAAATCTGTGTTCAGAAATGGACCTGTACTGGGAGTATGGAGGGAATCTGAGACATGATAAAAATATCTTGTACTTCTGTTCTAGGTGGAGATACATGTAAATGTTAATGGACTGACAAATAGGTTAAAATACTCAAACCTCATATTTTTATGCTGAACGTGAATTCTGAATACTGAGCGTGAGTTTGTGTTGCAGTATGAATACTTCAATGCTGTGCTCATCAATGAACGAGACGAAGAAGGAAACTACCTGGAGCTGGGGAAGGAGTTCATTCTAGTGCCAAATGACCACTTCAATAACTTGCCTGTGAACATCAGTCTGAGTGATGTCCAAGTACCAACCAATATGTACAATAAGGGTAAGAAAAGAGCTGTTTTATTCCATCGTTCTACTGGCCAAACATAGGAACTTCCTTGATTTTAAAACGAAGCTGTTGATTAGTTATGTATTGTCTGAGTTTTCCAGTTTGCAATTAAACTGAAATTTCAGTGGAAGAATGCTTAAAGTGTGATGGTTTTGTAATATCTTTTGTTCTGTTGCAATTTAGCAATTTAATATTGTTAACTATTTGCATATTAGACTTGCATGAAGTCTGCCATGAAATACAGCAGAATATGTTTATTCTCATTAATTATTTTATGGAATCTCTAAATCAGTTAAACAGATCTTACATTGTCACTTAGAAGTTACATTCTGTCTTTACTGAGAGTTAGAAGTGTCTTTAAAAGATACAGAGTAGATTGGAGGGGAATATTTTATTAGATTTATGCTCTCAAGCTGGGAATAATTCTAGCTGTATATGACTATACACAGCTGCTGTGAGTTTTCTGATAATATTTAGGAGGAATAAACTACATTAAAATTGCTACTCCCCTGACTATTTGTCGTAGCTACTGGATAGCTCACACCACTAACCAACAGCTACATTAAATATTCAGAGTGATGGACTTAGGTCTAAAAATTGGGAATGCAAAATGAACTCAGGTACACACTTACTCATTTTCCTTTTGCCACTTGCCTTTGATCAGACAGCAGAATTTTCTAATTTTACTGTGCTTATGCAGCACCCGTCTATTTATTTTTTTTCAAACCGGTAATAAAAGAAAAATTAAGATGGAAAGTGCCAAAGTTTCCAAACAATGTCTATGGTATATTTGTCACTGGTCTGTAGAGAGCTGCCTAATCTCATTATCTCCTCCTTATTTTAACTATACTAAAAGACAGCTAAAAATACATTAAATATTTTCCTCTTGATACATTCCAGGCTAGCAATTGTGTTAATTCATGCAAGCATATTGTGTAATCACAAATGGAAGGAGAATTAATTCAGATAGGTTGGGCTGGTAGGAGAAGCAATTGATATGAAATCTTCTCTTTGAAGTTATGGTTATGATTCAGACTTGAGAAGCCAAAAATTGTATGATAATGTCTTAAATTAGGGATTACACAATAAAATGAAGCTTCCCTAGAGAGTGTTTGAAAGGTCGTGAAATGATTAATACAGGATATTTTGAAAAGATTTGGAAAACTCTTAAAGCTTCTAAAGCTACCAAACCATTTTTTGTGTGCAAGTGCTAATATTTATTTGATGAGCCTGTCTATAAATTAACTCGTCACAGAATTGCTAAGGAGGAAAAAAAATTTGGTTGCAAAGGGATATGGAGTTCAGGCAATCAGGTTTTTCTGGAGAAGCAAACTAACCTGAGTAGTTAGTTAGAGCAGTAAAATTAAAGGACCCTCAGTTCCATGCTACTGCTGCATTTTTATATGCTGATTAATTGCACTTAAAGGCCGAAGTCAATGGCTTGTTGTGTCTTGTTTTGGCCTCTAAGACAGGAGCTGCCTATAAAGATGAGGAAGATAGAGTTCTGATGATTCCTGTATCCACTTAGTCCAACTCAAACCAGCCAAAATCAACACCTTATGCAGCTGCATAAAACCATTTTTTTTACCATTTAAATGTATTCCAAGTGCTGAAATCTGCTGCGTTGCTGACGTTTTCCTTACAGGTGAGCATGATAGTCTCAGCTTGAAGACTGACAATGTCTGGAAATGCTACTCTTACCAAGAAGAGGCCTGTATACCTATGGTTTTGGTTGCCCATTTCTTCAGTTCTGCAATGCGGAGGGGTGACAAGTTAATTAAATCCTAGCCTGAGGGTACAGACAGTAGTTATTGATAGGTTTGCAGCCAAGTGTCTGCACAACACCATTTCTCTAGAAAATGCCTGTTGTTCATTTCCAGGTTATGTTTTATTTTATTGAATTACTAGGCAAAAGCACAGCTAAAACTCTCAGTTGAAAACAGAGAAGTGTGATCATTTAATATTTAAACACAGGACTCTCAAGTCAGTATAAAAAAAATTGAACTTTTTATTTGTAAGCTAATTCTAAGGTTTTTCTTTGTTTTGGATTTTTCAGTTGTAGAGGTATTGATAATTTGTGGTGGGTTCAGCGGAGAGTCGGAGGACTCATCAAAAGGTTGAAAAATTTGCCTTAGACTGAAAGACTCCAGGAGCTCAGTCCATTTATCTCATTCAGGAGATGATTAAAGGATTAATTAGTTGATCTCTACTTAATTACTAATACCAAGCTCTATAATCTGGTTACCAAAGGTTGAAAAAGATTTAACAGATGAAATTGTTTTCCATTATTTTGCAAATTGCACAATTGTGGGCACAATTAAGGCGTAGGGGGTTGTTTGTGGTGATTGGTTTGTTGTTGTTTTCTTTTTTTTTTTTTGTGGGTTGGTTTGTTGGGTTTTTTAAAATGAAGATAGTGGTCTATTGGTGGAGTGTTCTATGTCCATACCCCAAGCCCTTATCAAGACCAAATTCTTGCTTGTTTTTGAAATAATACATAGTCTAGAATTAGTTCGGTGTTCACAGTCCCTAACTAGGCTCTCAATGAGATTCGCTTAAAAATCATGGGACATAAATACATCGCTATTCTTCATATATCTTCTGTATCTTCTGGCTTTTTCAGCCTGTGCATAGAAAAGCTTAACAATATTGGTGGTAACAACAGGACTATATAATTCCCATTGTAAGGAAACCATAAAGTTTAGAATCTGAAAAAAAAAAAAAAAGCAAAAGCAAGTGTTGTTACATTTATGATGAAGTCAAGAAAGGTGAAATAGCATAAGTACCCAAACTATGATACTTAAAGTTAACTTGGAACATTTTGAAAAGGAAAATGAGAAAAAAAGACTGCAAACCTAATTTGTAAGCACGCGGGTAACTCTACTGACATCTTTCAGTACAGATTACATGCACCGACTCTAAATGTAGAAGGAAAAGTAAATTAGTGAATTTAATAAAGAATCGCAGTTTTACATTTACGGTACTCTTGATCATCATTGTAAAATAAAAATAACTGGTTTGGTTATTGATGTGCTTTTCGTTCCCTAGTTCTGCACACCCTCATCCCCCAGTTTCTCCATATCTTAAAGTGCACATCAATTAATGTTAAAAATAGAGTAGTTACTGATTTTTGGAATATAAAGCCTATGGGGCTCAGAAAACACTATTTCAGCATTTCTACAATGTTCATATACTGAGAGAATTCAGAAAAAACAAGTAGGATGATTTTGCTTTAGAGATAAGCGTGCTTATCTGTCTGTCGATACAGAGACCTCTCTCAGCTCTAGGCTGCTCCACAGCAAGGCTGGCGGTCCGTTTAATCTCTTGGTGCATTCTGTTTCTTCTCTTCAAGCACAAAGTGTATTCATTGCCTGTAGCCACTCGATTTGCGTGGTGGTACCTTTTAAAACAATGAATAAGTAATTAAGATTAAGTAAGAAGTTTTTTTGATAACTGTCTTAGCAAGCAGTAGCTCTTTCTTCATGCACAAATTTGGTAACTGGCAATTATCAACTGTGTACAGGTTTCTGACAGAAAGTGGAGAAAAGGGTTCTCAGTGAATTAATCATATAGGTATATCCATAGATGAAAACAGAAGAGAGGAAGAAAGCTTTTCATATTAGAAGTGAAGTTTAGTTTTGGAAAGTACAGAATCTATCTGAATCTAGTTTGGACAATGCAGTACCAAGGCAGAAGTCCAGGTATGAGAACAAGTGTGTGTAAGGCACTGTCTAGTTCAGCTGCTGTTGTTTATTTACATGGTATCAGCAACAAAGTCGGTTTTCATATCTCTTATTTTTTCTCTCACCTATTTTAGAATGTAAGTGATTTGGGACATGCTATTGTCTCAGACATATCTTGCATATATATTTCCATAGGTGTGCCTTCCAAAGATACTCAGATATACTTTTCTACATATCAAATGGTATATTTTAAACAGCTATTATGGAAGAGATTAATAATAATGAAAAATGATTAATGATTTAAAGTTTATATAGTTTCAATGTTTGCTTTATTACTTTCTGAGATGCTAGTAGTATATTCAGAAGAAGCTAGAAATGTGACATGTAATTAAAAAGTAGGCAGCTGGAATGTAGGCTGGGCTTTCTGGCAACCAGCCATGGAGAACATGGTTTCTGGCAGTAAGATTGCCACTTATGAAAGTATGATTCTGTAATGCATATACGTACACAAGGAGATGATAAAAGAAGACTTCAGAACGCTCAAATTTGATCTTGCAGATGTTGACAGTGTGTAAAAGAAAAATAGACTTTTACTTTTTGTTAGTATGAGAATGTGGATAGCCTTCTTAAAATCCTACATTCGTTATCCAAAGTACGTGCTGGATCTGAGCTGAAGAACCTATTGCAGTTTTATTTTTCTAATTCTATGTCACGTGATAGTTACCTACAGTTGTGGACAGTAATGACGTGTTTTCTGCTATTGAGTTTACACTCAGCATTTTTTCAAGTTCTTGGAAGAGGCTTGTGAATACTTGGCTAAATGTGGATTTCACCCAAAGCCAGGGTGAGGGGGAATGTGTCTTGCTGACTCACACTCAGACAATTCTGAAATATGGCACCTGTTGAAAAGTGGACTATAGCATAGCCCAGTACCGTAAGTGACACACAGCAGCATCTCATCTGCTTATGTTAGTGTTGCATGAGATCTAGGAGATTCAAGAGGATGTTGATAAATACATTATCTCAAAACCAACTGAACACAACTCCTGTTTTTGAGCTTTTGCTGTCAGCCTTTGTTTATATGATAAGGTAAACTTTACATTTGTCATTTGTAGAAAGGGGAAAAGCCCAGGTTCCTTTCTTTTCAATATTTCAGAAATTCTAGACACAAACACTTCTCGTTGTTTTTCCCTTAAACCCTCAGAATTGTGGGCTTTTGTATTTTGCAAATTTTACTCTCTTGTTCTCCTAGTGTTCTTACTTGTTAAAAAGTTATATGAATTCACTACCTAACATAACTGACTAATTTAGATG